AAGAAATATTCTCTCTCGCAATTACTTCAGCTTCGGTTACAAATCATCCAATGTCTAGTCACGGACCGAGGTATAAACCCAATACTACTCTTCTACGATATGGATGAGGTTATACCTTGCAGAGAAAAGCTGATACCTCGGGACAGTGAGGCACATTCATATTTCAAATAAAGGTTTGCTTTACGAGGTTTCGGAAACGAATGTACAAAATTTTGTGAACATGAAGTTCTGTAATAGATAAGATATTTATAATGGAAATATCAAAAGACGCATTAAGCAAGGATGTTACATGAAATGCTAAGAAACAAGAAACAACTGTGTAGTATCTGTAGGCAAGTGTTTAGTCAAAAGATACGAGTCTTGATAGATGTCGGAGATGAAATAACAGTTAGAGAAGGCTGAACAATTTACGTGCTATTATTAAGAAGGAAGGCGCTATATTTTAAAAACTGTAATTATTATACCTATTGTGATAAATTTTAAGACGCTTCCAAGCATTAAAACTGGAAGCATTGCTTAAGTTTGAATACATCTCTAGAGAGACACAGTAACAAATCTTTCGTGTTCAAACAATTGCTCTTGTAGAAAATGAAACAAAATTTGAAATTCTTTCTCTATTTTCGAAATATATTTGGTGTATATAAGAAATTTATAAAATATATCTAAGCTATTACGTTCTGTAATACTTTGTAGATTATAGACTTACTTCCATTAATTCAAATCCTGGGTTGCGTTGCAAGATTATATGTAGTAAATACTCAGGCCTGTAACTCGGTACGTTTAGTTTCACATAATTACGTTAGCAAACGTCGAGATCATCTTCGCAACAAATTTAGGCTTAATTGGCTCCCATGTTTCCATGCTCCGACAGATCGATGCTGTGTTGTATCCGTGACATAATTATTAAGAATTTCGAGCAGAATTAACTACAATTCAACAATACATTGCGATTACAGAATTGACTGAGAACTGAATTTCAGTCACCGTGCCAATTAGCTAAACGAACTTACCTTTCGTATTATTATTCATGTGTAAAATAAACTGGAATTATATCCTTCGAGTAGCTCACACATTTCTCCGATATCGCTTATATTGTAGAGGGTCTTCGGACCACACACGTCATAATATTTCATTTGCCTTCCTCTTTCTCTGCGCAGAGTTCGCACAAACATCTGTGTATAAAGTCAGAGTGACAGAGAAAGAATCGCTACGTGCCTTGATTTCTAGTTTTATCTTTACGGGCGAATAGAATTAAACGAATACAAAATAACATAAAATAAAAAAAAATATTCTTCAGTCATCAAAACAAACCGCGCGCATTGATCGGCAATTGTCATGATCAGCGCATGCGTGTCTCATGTCTAAAGATGGCGATACTCAATTCCTAAACAGAAGTTGCATTTTCTATTATCAAATGCAAGGCATGTCTTCTTGACTTGAAACAGAGAGAATAATAAAAAAGTTACAATACCTTTACTCCAAAATGATTTCCAGTGGAGAGAAACGTTGCGAATATCAGAGCAGTGACGGTAAAGCTGACTAAACTGATGACTTTCGACTCTTTCGTACCGACTAAGAAGTTCAATGAACTGCATATTACATCCTTCCACTGGTCAGAAACCAAACAGCGTGTAACCGTACATCGCCATGATTATTTGCCCGTTGACACTGACAGCCACCACCAACAAGGCGAAAGGAAATTGGTGCACATGAGAAATGGATCACATGTTTCTCAAGCGAAATTTTCTGATTAACTTCTTCATTCCGTTTATATTGTCACTTCTTCTAGCCATTTCGTCTGATAACTTTCTTCAATGTGGTTATGTAGGTGTTTAAGACTACATCTGCACCAAGTCTTTCCACTTTATTTTGCCATATTTCACAATAACAGAGTTTGTTTTCTCTGTGTAGTGCAAAGGTCCTTCCGGACAAAAACTTGTAGGCTAATCTATTAGACGGCGACCAATAAATTTCAATATTCAGTGCTATCTTAAGTGTACTTGGCCCTACTTGTGTGTGACAAAGCAAGCCCCAGCTGGAACGGGAAAACGTAGCCTTGAACTTAGCCATTTATTTCACCTCCAAACATCTATGCATAAAATCGTAAGCGATCAGCATACATTCCAATAGATTAGCAGCTGAAGTAAACGTCAAGTGATTCACTGGAAAAATAGAGCAATTGGCAACGAGCCTGGCTAGCTCGTCACTGCAGGCCAAATGCTATTTCGAGGTGAAGAACGCTGGGATCATCAAATCGAAACTCTAAAATAGTTTCGAAGAGTCGTCTTTAGAACGACCTCCTTCTGGTATGTAGGCCTAATGAAATGAAAGTTTTTGGACTAAGTCACTGTCCATTCTGTTCAAGTGGGTTAACAATTTGTCTTTTTACTCAACTCTTATTTCATTTACGACTATTGAATAAATGTTTAGTTCCTTTCGTATGTAATAACATGGCCGACAGATCGCCGTTGAACAGCAACATCCCACCTGACATGCCGCAGTTCATACGAGTACAATTACGCAACGGTTCTAGACTGGCGGCCGACAAAATTTCAGACATATTGCTTCGATGAGTGATTATTAACAACCATTGCCAAACTGATCCACAAATGACAAACAGATAATATTTCTAACATTAAACGATGAATGATATATTTTAGTAGTAGCATATTCGAGTATAAAATATTGGGAAGTTTAGTGTTAAAGTTTGATTACAATCGCAGCCAAAGCTGATGGAAACTTCCCTTGAGGACGGTTTGATTCATCTCCCCCACTCGTAGAGTGCTTTTCGTCTTCGAAGTTTCCAGAAAGGTGCTCTTACCACCACAACACCCCCCCTTTAAAGCAATTTTGGATAACCAATAAGACAGCTAGAACTGGCTGTTCAATTAAGCAGTGGAGGAATAAGTTCTGATTGGATTGGCCAATTACAGCTGTTAATTTGAATGTATTTTATAAGCGTCATCTTCCCCAAAAGCGTTTCTCTTAGTGTGGGTAACGCCACTAACTCGCGGACTAGTTTTTGAAGAGACAAATTTAGCCGAACAAATTGGCATCAAAATTATACGGAGTCTGCTAAGAATATCTAGAATAAGTAAATATGAAATAAACTTCTACTAGAGTACAGTCATATTCATGTTCGCCGCCGCGAGGACCTGAGGCCTCACCAAATAAGCTTCCTCACTGGGCCAGAGATAGGTCAATCTAGTTTACATTCAACTTTTCCTAAGTAACACGTGAAATTTTCCTCCAAACTTTGCCTTCGTTTCTTGCTATACCAACTAAATCTGTATGCCTGACAACTGTCTCGCCTTTAAACACTGGTTTTACAGTTCAAAAAATGATATAAAATGTAACTGAAGTGGTTCAGAAAAACCCTTAATTTAGTTCTTGGCTATCTTAATCGTTTATTTAACGATGCTGTCAAGGTTATGAGTGTCGAGTGGAAAGTGATGCGATGATTAATGGTGGTTTGTAGAATATCTAGGATGAGGTAGTCGTGTCAAGTATTTGCTTGGAGAGACAAAAGAAAATCACAATATTCAAGCCACGATTTGAACCCGGGACCTCCAGAGTAAGAAAGAAAAGAGCTATCCGCTACACGAAGACGCACAGCTGCTTATTAGGGACATGTGATTACGTCATATAATTTCTTTGTGTTAAACGACAGTGCTTACAATTGCTTTATATAAAAACACTAACTTCTGGCAGTATCAGACTTGTTATCTGATTCAGACACATGAAGGCCTGTTGGAAATTTCTTCACGCCACGTCACAAAAGGTTCTCCAGTCATTCTTCAATTTCTGTCACAGGTTATTTCCCCAAGGTTAAAAACTAACTACACGTGAAACAAATATTCGTGGCTTCCATAAGGCGATAATGGTTCCAGATAACTTAATTTTACAACGGTTAATACTTTATAATAATTTAAATAACACATCGTTTGGAAATGACGGGCAAAAATGTACTATCTTAACAGTTTTTATGTTATTAGATTAAGATGAAGGTTTATCCCAGTCTGGAATCAGATTGTAAGGGTCTGGTTTTAATTTTTTCATTCGCAGATCCACAGCTATTGTTGAAAAGAGCTGATGGCAATCTTGCGCAGAATAGTCTGTGTTTTGATATTTGCGAAGCTAATAGGTATTGCAGTAATTATGTCGCCACAAGCACAAAATAATTTTCTTTGGATTTAAGTAAATATTAACCATACCGAGGAATGTTTATATAAGTGAAGGAGGTCTGTCGTAAATATATGAGCTATGTGTATTACATTATAGGACCTACATATTTATTGCTAGCTGGGTAGCACCGCCTGGCTGGCTAACGGTGTATTTTATCTGAGTGATTCAGCCGTGTTCCAGAGCATAAATACCACTAAACCACTAACGTAAGGCAGACGACCTTCTTTTTATTTAAATATTAGCTGGGATAACATGGCTAACACATCGGATTTGAGGTTCTCACAGCCGTGAGTACAAACACCGCTGTCTTCTGTGTTATTGCGCCGTGTAGTCTGGCAGAAGTTTACCAGCGTCTCAGAAGTTCTTGCTGCCTCCATCATCAGGGCGATCGCCCTGATGGACTACACGGCGCTACAACCTAGAAGACAGCCAACTTCATGGCTAACACGATTAACATAAATCCCCCTTCCTTAAATTTTACGTAGTTATTATAAATACAAAGCAGGCAAATAAGACGAGGCAGGTATTCCATATGTAGCAAAGTTTGGCCACCCTTTATCTACAGTACTAAGTAAATCTGGGGACGTCCAGTTATTTTTCTTATATACCGAAAACAGTTTAATACCTACCGTATTAAAAATTCGTGACAATAATTACTGCTATATACCCCTAACTTACAATAATTCTTTGCCAATTACTTAGTGCTAGGTGTGCTTATCGAATGGCAGGCCGAACGGTTTTTATTATCAGTCCTGACCAAAAACAACACTTTCAAACCTTATGCTACACAGTTCTCTATTAGCAAAGGAGAACGGTTAAGTGGAAAAATATAAACATCCTGCTGCTCGAAACATTACTTCCGGAATGGCCAAGTCAGTAAAGAAATTCCAAGAACTTAGTAGTTCGTAGTTCAATCGTTGTACGTGTTATGTGAGCAGTCTGAGTAAGCGGTTGTGAAACCAAGGAGCGCCGTCCACTATCAGGTATGGACTGACCTCAATATAGTCTTCGGTGTGTATTATAGTTATATTTCTTAGTAAACTTAGATATTAATTTATTTTAAATTAGAGACCTAATATCGCTGTTGAAGGGATGGTACTTCTTCTTTGCATGTGCGATGTTACGAACTCGATTCTCGGTCTATGTGTCTGTTTAATTTCTTTTATGCTTTCTCTTAGTCTCTTCGGGAAAGAACTGGGACAGTGCTATAAATGGGCCACGACCGCTTTTTCTTACACCTGCTAACGTAAGCCACACATATGATATAAATATTAATAATACAGCAATTGCATTCATAATAGAGTATAGTGACTGCCTTGAAGTGCACCATCAGGGCGATGAAGGAGGCAATAAGCACCTCTGAAACGCCGGTAAACTTCTACCAGACCGCACGACGCAACATCCCAGAAGACAGTCATTTTCATACTCGCCGACGTAGGAACCGTAACAGGAAACCAAAGCAGAAGTGGCTGAATTCAAAAATAGCGGCCACAGAGCTTAATTTTGCGAAGATCATTCTTATTTTTATAGATTATTGTCAGGGAGATCCGTAAGATAAGTTTTGTTTTGTTGGTAGCTAGAGGAAGACTTCTTTCTATGGCTTGTTCCACTGTCTAACCAAAAGTAATTAATCTGAGTTCATAGGTGAAAGCAACATCAAACATCATTCCGAAACTGATGTCGAGGTATTAAAAGCGAAATAATGTTGCAGTCTATCTTAATGTGAAAACTGTTATCACTTCTGAAGTGCGAATGCAGCCCGGTATAGAAAATTACAAAAGGAAGTGAGAAACGGAAATTTCAGTGGCAAGACTACAAACACCTGGATGATATGGCGTCAGGAAATGATATTTTATTCTTCATAGTAAAGTGTTTGATAGTTGCAAGTTTAACTGTGTGACGCAGAACATGATACGCCTAATGAAATCTGTTAAGTGCCTTGCTTTGTCTGCTGTCACACAATCTTTACACTCAGATTAGCATAGTAGTGTCATTCTGTCCGTCCGTCATACATTTCAATGTAAAAAATCAGATTACCCAATTTCAAAGGCAAATTATTACAAAATATAAAATAACGCAAATTCAAGATAAAGACATTCAAATTAATAATATTACAAATACAATTTGAGATTACAGAAATAAATTAAGCATACTGGAATAAAATAAAAGTCGTATGCTTAAGTAGCAGTAAGAAAGTCCATATCAATTCCTGAAGGTGATGATTAAGCACACGATATAGCCATGATTAATGACGCATACGTATGATTGAATTCGTCTGTCGTAAAATGATACATTAACGTAAGAATGCCAAAAGGTTTTGTCCTTGATTTATATTGCCACATAAATCCGTATAAATTTCAAACACTGGTTTTTAATGTAGGCCTGTGTGTGAGCACTGCAACAGAAGACTTTGTGATAATTATAAACACAAGAAAATAGAATTCGCCTCTAAAATGAGACCTTATTTTGGCAACTTCCGGTAGATAATTAGACAAATAGTTTAATGACGTTCCTGTTAAGACCATACTTTACACAGGCGCCTTTAAAACAGTCGCGGCACGCCGTTGAGAAAAATCGGGGTAGTAATTAAAAGAACGCAGACACAGTATTTATTTAACATCCCACTCTTTTGTATCACGAATTTGATAAACAAGTGACCACTGCGATAAGCGAATCAAGTACTGTATTTTAGACTATAATTTACTGCCACTATAGTGTATTTTAAGTCCTGAATGGTTCGAATGGGTCATGATTCCTACTGTACCGACGACCAAAATACCGAAACCAATGGAGCTACACCTAAAAAGTTAAAGTGCAGAGTGGTTAACAGTGCTAACTCCATGAAGCATTTCTGACAAGCTGACAGTACTCAGCTGCTCAATAAATTCTCCGCCGTCTACGGAACCCGACAGTTCGTTACAATGCTCACACAAGCGCGCCACCGATCACTGTCCTCAGTCGGATGAATCCAATCAACACCCTCTTTCTAATACAACTTTTATATTACAACCCATTATGATCTCAATTCTTTGGATTACTGTAAATTAAACGCATGTTTTAAAAGTGATAACTTAACAATTAAATTAACTTATATTTAAAGTGATCAAGGAAGCTCTGAATTTCTGCAACATATACGTCCTAGATAAGGAAATTAGAGTCGTTAGATGTTTAAAGATTTATGACAATTTTTACACGTGCTTGTAGCACAGAATTAACGCGGTTACTAATTGGCCAACGCCTCTTCACTGTTCATCAATTCATAGGTAGAATTTTAATAGACAATTGTTTTAATGATCTTTTTGTCTGCCCATGGTTTTCTTGGCTACATGACTGACATTACTGTTCTAACTTTTCAAATATCGGAGGAATGAACAAAGGTCCACTAGCCTAGACTAATGAACAAGTCACAGAATTAAGAAAAAATCCTTCCTAATGTGTTTCAACAACAAAGATGTTCTTGATCACAAGAACAAGAAAGTGTCATCTAACGTAGTAGTGGATAGGCCAGCATCTGTACTTTGATTTTGGGAAGTACGTACCTGGTTCGAATCTCTGCACGGGGCCGGCTATCATGACTGAAGTCTTTCATTGTTTACTTATTCCGCATAATAGCAGCATATTTTAGGCTTATTATTTAGCCTACTTGGCGAGATTAGAGGAACCACAGAAAGCAGCTGCAACCGATTTATCGAAAAAAGATCCAAACCCGCATCTCTCGAACACAAAACAGAAGCGGGTATCCTTATCCTTGTAGATGCTCTGATGTCGTTAAATAAACCCGAGACATGTTCAGTTTCCAAGTACTGTAAGCTGGAGAGGTGTGTGGATATAACACCAGGTATTTGGCCATAAAGATGGCGGCGGCAGGGGAGGTATAGTCCTATGATAAAGCTGTTTGGTAACCCATAAACATGTCACACGCTGCGCATTGTACTGCCCCTTCGTTACTATACGAGCCGAGCCGATAAAAAAGAAAAAGAAAAAGAAAGTTCGTAGCCATTATTTGATTAGTTTACAGGTGGGAAGTCTTGCCAATAGCGTAATAAGAAAAACTCATTTTATTAACATTCAGTTCGCGTCACATTTTTACTGCAAATCTTTTCGTTCAATTAAGAGCGAGCAGACTGGCCAGCAAGTCTGCATCAATCTGTGCTTTGTATATTTATAAATTTGTTACTGAACAGTGTAACTTCTTATTGCCAAACCATTTCACATTTCAAGTCAGCAGACAGTGTGTTGCGTTAGCGCAGTTTTTTTCCTGACGTTTCCTTTGTAATATGAAAGAATACCATTCCTCTAAAAGTGTACATTTCATCTCACCGTATAATGGCCGTACTGATTCAGTCTATTCATCTCACTTTCCCATATATCTGCGTACTTACTTACCTATTTGCCTAGAACAACCATTCTCCTATCCCATTTATCCATCCACACATTATCTCACATACCTATCTAATGAAAAATCAAATCACTCCACTTCCTTACCACTTATTCAGAGTGTTACACATAAATTGCAATTACTAATATCTTTATCTCCTTCGTATCGTATGTAAAACATAAAGAAAAAATCTTAAAAGGCAGCAAAATTATAAAATATTTTCATCAAATGTTTAAACTCAGTTAGGAAGGAATGCAGTAATAAGGTAACCTACATATGGAAAATTATATGTGTTAATGCTGACGTATGTAATGGTTTAGTTTACTAAAGTATCTTTATTTCACTGATCGAATGTGTGCATATCTTTTTGGGAGATGCTGTATATTTATGCAGTTTATGTATCAAATCCACCCTACTGTGAAAGTGTGAATAAATTATCATCGACTTCCCTTTCATGGCTGAAGTCATTAACTCTTAACCCTAATCCACACACATACCTTATTTCTATTAAATACGACTGTTGGATTTCTTTCATAAAATTCTACTGTGGATTTAACTATATTTAAATCTGGATCGTTATGTTGCTACTGAACTCGCAAAAGAAACATGCGACTCACGG